TTTTGTATTTGTAATTCAATACATTTTTCTTCTAAACATTGCATTATAAATTGTGTCCTAATTCCTATACTCCATAATGCATCTGGTCTTTCTTTAACATTTTTATTTTCATTCCATTTCTTTGTTATTTCTAATCCTAAAGGTCCTGGTAATTTATGAAATAATTTTTTACCTAATTCTTGATTAAAAGTATTTCCTGAAATAGAGACTAAATAATAATATTCATTTAAAAATTGTTTAACTTCTTTTCCATTAGTCCATCTATTTAAACTAAGTTGTTCTAAATTTCTTATAGCTTTATTTTGAATTATTAAGTGTCCTGTATTTGGATCTGCTCCTGTTAATAATTCATGTATTTTACTAAAGAAATTGTAAGGATTATTTCCTAATAATACTAATGCTTCAAATTCTGGTTGTTTATCTCTTTTATAAGCTTCCCATGTAGCTTTAGTACTTTCTCCTAAAAAAGTTTATTTTGTTCTTCTTCAGATTCTATTAATTCTTTCTGTATTAAACATTTTTTACAAGCTTCTAAAAAACAGATTTTACACTTTACTCTTAATTTTTTACTAGGATACCATCTACAAATAAAACATGGTATACTGTCTGAACCTGTTTCTTTTATCCAATTATGTTTACATTCTAGCTATATAATTTCTTTCTTTATCACTATAATTTGTAACAGGTATTCTAGGAGGATGTCCACTATGATATTGATATGGTTCTGATTCTGTTTTAGGTTGCATAACTTCATCTGCTAATTCTTTATAATTACTAATTTCTGATGTTTCTGTTATGTTATCATTTTCTTCTATATTAATTCCTACTCTTATATTTTTAAAATTATCATAATATAAATATTCTATTTCACTTATTTGTTTATTTAAAAACAAATGATCTTCTAGTTTTAAAAGTTCTGTAGGAGACAAGTTCATTTCTAATTCTTTAGGATATATTATTCTATCTTCAATTTCTATTTCTACTTTATTATTAAATTCTTCACCTTGGTCTTCATTATTAGATTCTGTTTCTGAATCATTATTTCTATTTATATGACTATAATTACCAAATCTTAAACTAGTTCTTCCATATAAGTCTTTATATGTAATAGCTTGGTGGGATAATAGAAAAAGAAAAAGGTAATGTAAGTAGCATAGATTTAGAATTACTTGCAGTAAATTATGCATTAGATTCTTTTGAATTGTTTATTATTTCTAAAAAAGAAATTACTTTAAGAACAGACTGTGAAGCAATTGTAAGTTTTGTTAATAAAATGAAACTAGAAAATAAAAGAAGTAATAGAAGGAGATGGTTAAATTTTATAGATAGAATTACTAATACTGGAATAGTAATTAATTTTGAACATATTAAAGGTAGTGATAATCAGATAGCAGATATTTTAAGTAGAATAATTAAAAATAAAGATTATGACTAACTATCCATTGCAGATGCAAAGACCAAGAGGTCCCAGACCAGGATTGCCAATTGTTGGCAGTTCAAGTTCTCAGACAAATATATTCCAGACACATGATAAGTTAAGATTCGGTAATATAGAATTACTTTGTTTTCCTAATAGCAATATTAGTTTTAAGACACTTTCTCATATTTCAGTAACAAAGGCAGAAAAATGCATTTTAGATAATTTATGGATTTCTTATAATAAGAACCCAAAAGACCAAAAATATTTTTTAGCATGTCTAAATGCTCTCTCAGAACATTTTAGTCAAGATCATAAACAATTTAAATGTTATGTTGTATTAAATGGAAGACTTCCAGGAATTTACCATACTTGGTTAGAAGTTTCAGACTGTATTAAGAATTTTCCAAATCCTCTTTACAAAGGATTTTATTCAATTTCAGAAGCATTAGAAGAATGTAGAAAATTTATT